TTGCTCATTAAATCTTTTTGTATTTAAGCACAAACATGTGCTTAATTCACCTCAAGGGATACAAAAATCCCCCAAAGTCATCCTGTTAGATTGTTTGCTACTATTTAGTTTCCTGTTGACAGTACCAATTTGTATTAATTGAGGAGTTCATCTCTGTAATTTTTAATGTAACAGGATTAAAAGGACAGACTGGAGGAAGGTCATGCAAAGCCAGTTGCACCCAAGCAACTACCCAATGGGCAGTCATACACACTACACACTGTGTTTTAGGTTTTAGACTCTCTCCACCCCACCCAAATTGTAATACTTCAATGCTAAACAGATGKGAGGAACTGACTTTATTTGCCTTATCTGTAACAGACAACACCCTTCCTATTCCATTATCAGAAACTAGGAAAGTAGAAAAAAGGTTAGAAGAAAATATCACCACTTATAAATATCCCAATGGCAACTATTTAAATACCAGCATCATAATGATCATTAACAGATTTTAATACCCCTTGAAGAAATAGGTTTAACACTCTAGATAACAAAGCTTTAATTCTTAGTCACACTGTACTACACAAATGGAAGAAATGGTCCCTGCCCATGAGGGGGGATATTTTTCTTCATTTTTTCCTTTTCCTCCTTTTCTACTAATTTGAGTTATTTAATTAATTTTGGGAATCTTGTTATGTCGGAGTTTGCTTTGGGGGAGTGTCTAATCCACTGCAGAGTTAAAKCTTTTCTTTCTTTTTTGATACATTAGTTCAATGTGAGGCATCTGTGTGTTATCARCACTATTCTCCAAAACACAGCACTGCATCAGCTACCAGGAAGAAAATGAACTCTCTCCCAGCCAGAAGCAGGACACTGGGGAAGGGGTGGGGCTGTAGCAGCCCCCCAGCACCTCTGTCTGAGAGGATGGCACTGGGCTCTGTGCCGAGATACAGGATGGGAGAATGACAGATGGGGGCAGGAACTGAAACACGGAGGATATATCCAACTGGATACGTATGGAAGAAGGGAAAAAAATCATTAGTCAATCATTTGAATTAATTTCATTGTGAGGCTATGGAATCTCCATACTTGAATGTTTTCAAGACTCAAAAGCCTGAAGCAATATGATCTCAACCACTTTGATTTATAAAGTTTGACTAGACAACATCCAGTATAATATCTGAATAATTTTATGATTAAGGATTTTTCCTAATGGTTTATGTCACGTAATGATCCTGCCAACTACTGCATTTACATTATATTTTGATTTATTTTGAAATTGTAATGTGAAATGGCTTTGACAAATGCTTGGTCATTCATCTTTTGCATTGTGTCTCATTTTTCYGTTCATTAAAATTATTTCAAAACATACTCTGAACTCTCAGGTTTGAATGAAATTCTGCTTAGTCTATTTTAAACATCTCTGTTGTGTTATGTGTTAATCTGYAGAACTGTATTGCCAGTGAAACAATAAATAAATAAGCTGTTATAAATCATTACATAATTTGAAAATTCTTTTCAATGCCTTACACTAGAACATTTCCCACTGAAGATGTAAAGTTTTTATTTTGCTCTTTCAGGAGAAWATAGGGGAACCAAAATCTTGACTTGTGGAGAAAGGAGAACCCTGATTTCACYCTTCACAGCAAGTGACACTGCTCAGAGTTCCTGTTTCCCCTTTTGTTGAAACATTGTCCTGTGACAGACACTGCTGAAAATTCATAAACTAGTCACTAGTATTGATATACAGCTCCCAAATACATCAATTATGTTTAATATGTCCCAGTAACTGCAGTAGCTAKAGAAAACAAAGAATAAAAGAAGGAAATTTAAGATAATACATCAACTGAAACCAGGAATTTCTGGTGGATAGCAAAGCCAGACATTTCATAAAAACTCACTGCAAGGGTCTGCTTAGTAAATTTACAGTTCTGATTGTTGAGGTAATGAGAAAATGAGCTTTACAGCCATTCTTAAAACCCATGGAATGCACAGCTGGAGACACTAAATTGACTCAYAAGTTTCCATGTGCCAGGATGTCCCCTTCAATTGTTAGGACAATATGTGCTCTGCAAGTTAAATGCTTGCAAACCTTTTTCAGAAACTTCTCTATGTCTCACAAGAAAAGGCATGGAAGGCTTGATGCTGAAGTTTAATGCTGACCTACAGCTCAGAAGAAGCTGAGAATGCCATMCTGAATGCTGCTTGGAGAGGGCCAGTCTGAATCAGACACCGGTGAAAGAAGCCTCGTTCTCAGCAGCATAGGCTGGTGCAGGATTTAAGAGCAATAAAACAAATGMTCATCGACAAATAATTATCTGGCTGCTTTGGATTTAAAAGAAGCTTTCTTTTGCATTCTGGAGGATGAGCAGAGCCTGATTTTCTTGGTGTTGAGGAGGGAAATCTGACAACAGAAAGAAAGATGCAGCTGCTCCTACAGAACATCAAAGGTGGGACACTCTTTTTGGACTGATTACRGAGATTTTCAATAAGATGCTTCACCCTGTTGTCGTTCTCTTAATGCAGACCTTATTATGTTTTCTCTTAATTGCAGCACTGAATATTTGTATTTGGAAAATCATGACACTGTTGACTTACCTGTCATGCCTGGGATTAATTTCAGAAAAAATGTGTGATGTTCATAAAAAGGGAGGATTTGAGTCCTGCTGTGGCTTCATAGCCTCAATGGGAAGAAATGATGAACAGCTCCCTAAAAGATAAATTATGTCTAATGTGTCTCAGTAATTGCAGCAGCTGTAAGAGAGAAAGGAGTAGAAGAAACCTGAACTTGAAATAATRTATCAGCTGCAGCCAGACATAATGTATTGCTGAAGCAACAAATCAAGGACACTTGGTGAATAAACTAAGATAATGCGTGATGGCAAGGAGCAAAGCGAGGCCAGCTCATCAAATCAGGAAAGGGTAGTTCCCCCAAGGGGGGATAACAATCCCTGACTCACCACCCACTAACGCAAAACATTCACTGACTCTGAAGAAAAGACTGAGCATGAGGACTAATTAGCAAAGGAAGMGAGAGAATCATTTAATCAATAGAAGATAAAATACTAGTTAATAAGAGAACTCTTGACTTGGCTGGTGAACATTAATACYTTTGTTTGTGCATAAATAGTGAAAAGTTTTGATWGTCACTGTGCTGGCTTTGTGGATTCACCACCCAGCACCTCCTTCTGTGCAGAACTATAAATAAAGGAAATATTTGAACTCAGCGTGCAGATCAGCCTCTCGCACACAGGGTGAAAAAAAGCCATTTTGGGACAAAAGTAGGACTTAGAATCTCATTCAGATTGATCTCCTGTAKAAGTGTAAGGATAAGGATGGTGAAAGAGGGCAGGAAAGCTTAGAGCTGCCGTGTCCTGCTGCAGCCCGTGCCCAGCCTGGCTGTGTGTCACATCCTGCCACCTGCAGGCAGAGCTTGGGGACAGACCCTCTCTGAGCCACTGCCAGGTGAGGAAGGAGGAAAAAGGGATGGGTCTAGAGAGCAGTTCATCTGCCGGGCAGTCAGAACCACGGGCCTGAGACAGGCAGCTTGAAACCCACCAAAACAGGAATTGACAACTGCTGCTCGATAGAGGCAGTGGGCAAAACCAGAGGGAGTGAGAAGGAAGGTTCCTGAATCCGACTGGAAAAGCCCCTGACTGAACAGAACATAGTAATGTTGCTTAGCAGCTCAGAGCCTATTTAAATAAATAAATAAATAGATAAATAAGTAAGTAAATAAATAAATAAATAGAAAGAAAGAAAAAGAAAAAAAAAAAAACACAAAAAGGGCAGGACAGTAAAGACAGCAGAAGAGATATTGAGAAAACACCATAAGATAATGAAAAACAGCTTGGAGCTGTCCTGAAGCTGCGCACAATAGAGACAAATCACACTGTGTGTCACTTWGCCTTCTTGTCACCCACATCCAACAACTTCAGCCATGCCCTGCAGCCTTTGGCAACCAAAGCACAGCCCAGGTGAGTGGTGGYATGGTTTGCCACATTCATTGGACAGGAAAGTCTTGCTTGGAGGTAGAAAAAATATTCCCTCTCCTGTGGAGGGGGCCCTAACCCACTCGCTTTTTGCAGGGAGGGATGAGGAGGCTGAAAGGGTCCCCCGGATGGCACAGGACCTGCATCCCCAGCAGGCAACACCGGTGGGAGTGGGGCAGAGCAGCTTGAACCAYAGGTTTTGCCCCAGGTGTGAGTGAGCTGACTCGGTGAAATGTCTTTTTGTGGGGGAGGAAAGGCAAGCTGTTGYTCAAAGGCARTTATTACCAAGTACCTCTGCCATTWGTCCATGATATCCTATGACACAGCACAGCCAAGGGAGGAGGAGCTCAGCTGTGTTGGGAAGAGTTTCATTTCTGCTGTTCACTAAACACACGGGGAAATGAAAGCAAAAAACCCAACACACTGCATTATTGTTTCCAGAGCTATCACAAAGCTATCACCCTAAGAGCATGAATTTCACATTTGCTTGACAGAATCCCTCCAAGGACTTTCATGGAGACAGTTTTGCCAAGTGAAGAATCGTGTTTTGAGGTAACACCTGTAACAGATTCAGAGCTGCCTTGATAAAAGCATTTGCTGCATTAATGCTAAATATCATAAGGCTACACAGCAATTAATTGATAATTCATAATTCACTTAAAGTTCAGCAATAATTAAGCTTAGTTTCACCTGGATATCATCTGCTGAATAATAGTTCCGAGGCGTGGCTGGTCTTCTGAGAGGCTTCAGTGGGAAGAGTTAGGGAGAGATTTTTATAAGGGCAGGTAGTGATAGGACAACGGGGATTGGCTTTAAATTGAAAGGAAGTAGGTTTAGATTGGATATTAGGAAGATGTTTGCTTCCCTGTGAGGGTGGGGAGACCTTGGCACAGGTTTCCCAGAGAAGCTGTGGCTGCCCCTGGATCCCTTTGAGTGCCCAAGGTCAGGCTGGACATTGGGGCTGGGAGCAGCCTGGGACAGTGGGAGGTGTCCCTGCCATGGCAGGGGTGGCACTGGATGGGATTTATGTCCCTTCCAACCCAAAGTGTTCTAGGATTTTGTGGCTCTCTGAACTCATGTCTGTGAGATCTCCACTGTGGACACAATTCATGTGTTAAGACAACCATGCCCTTAACAGAGCCAGGTGCAAGGTAAGCAAGTGGTGCCCACTTGTGGCAACTCTGTCTTTTGAAACAACCTGGTCCTTTCCACAGAATCCAAGTATTTAACCTCTGAGAATTAGTTTCGTTTCTGYTGTTTCTTATCATAGTGGGTAGGTGGAGCCTGTAAGTAAAAAAGCATCCGAAGAAGTTTCAAGAAATCATTGCTTCTCCTTGCTACAGGACACTTACAAGGGTAAGWTTCTCTTTTCCTTCTTCTAAAAACAGTAATGCAATTTTTTGCTGTTACTGTCAATCTTTTGAAAGTGACAAGGCTGCATAAGGTATTTAAAGTAAGTGTGATTAAACAGGGTTGCCAAGAGCAAGACTTTTTGCTTTCTGGGGTAGAGAAAGAGAAAAGATGTTAGTATTATTTCCTCTTTAAAAGAAGACAACTGAGAGATGGCATTATATTTTTTTTAAGGCAGTATTCAGCAAGATGATCTAGCCACAAGTGTTTATGAGTAGGATCATAACCTTTGCATTGTTTCATTTTCTTTATGATTGGACAGCTAGAGTTAATAAAAAAAACCCTCAGAGTCTATGAGGTTTACCCAAATATCCTGAAGTCACAGGGTGTGCGAGACAGAAGTCCATGTGCTCCTCTGGTTGGACAGAAAGTGAACAAATCCAAGAGTTGTGTGATCAGCACTGCAGCTCTGCACCCTGAGTTCAATAGGGGATTTTTTTGGTAGGGGATTTTTTTGGTCGGGGATTTTCATCTTCTACAGATGCAAAGCCAAAGGGTGCTCACAGAWAAACACAGCAGCTCCTCTTCAGAACCGTCAGCAGGTTGGTGTCTGTGCAGGTGTGGGTGTGCAGCAGAGTGCTTTGTGCTGTGCTGGGAGAGGTTTCCCACCCACAGGCAGGCAAATTGTAAAGGTGAAGCTCCAGGAAATCAGCATTGCCCCTGCAAAGGTGGCAGGGGCAGCTCCGGTGAGAGGGAATTGTTGGCAGACTTTCAGAATTATCGCGTCATCCAAGTGTCACGTTTCGCGTGTGGATTCTCGCCCATTGTGGAAGGGCTCTTTACCTTTTGTTCTTTTGTTTTCCTCTCCTCCTTGCTTCCATCCCATGTTGTCATGGCTCAGCACACAAAGAAATCGCACAGGGCATGGTTACACAACCTCCCCACCCTTTCCAGGTCTGGGGGGAGAGCAGAGGAACAGCCACACGTTTGGTTTTTCTAGTGCTGAGTTCAGTTGTCTTTGTTGGGTTTGTTGTGTGTGTGCGCACCCTGCGTGTGGTCTGCACCCCATCCCGGTGTTTGTAAGGATGACAAAAGATTTTCGAGTTTCCTCACACATCCTCAGCCCTCTCACATCCCTTCCACCGCTGTGACAGCCCTGGGGTTTGTAAGTAAACACACCAGGGGGCATTGCCGGATGCCTGGATGTTTGCATAATTAATTCAYTCCAGAGATCTGGAACTGAGACACTTGCGATTGACTTTGGTACACCACAAAAAGGATGTAAAATGCTGCTGGAGACTGGGATAACTGGGCAAACTGCTGTTCTGAAGTTGCAGKGAGTTTCTGGGTCCGTTTTCCCCTTCCCCACCCCATTCTTACCCCACCACTACCAGTGCCCCCTGTTGGGGTAAACCTGGACATTTCCAGCTGAACCTGCTCATATTGTAACTCTTTARACGCAGACTGTTGACCAAATCTGGGATTAAGTGGACCAAGTTGCATTTCCAAAMTCTGAGAAGTTTTGGAAGCAAAGGAGTCTCACTTGTGACTCAACAGGAAGGAACATGACCTGATAAAAATCCATTGTAATAGATGATAGAGTTATTATTTTGATACTGCACTGGCAATATTTATATAGTGTATTAGCAATAAATCCAATTATAATTGCCCACACAGTCACTGTGTCCAGCTTCTTGCTCCTGGACCAAGAATCTCTTAACAACTCTACTATACTGTGTGGTGGTTTTTTCTAAACTTGTTTTACACATTGGAAGTATAACATACATTGTGTCTGATCATCTCATTTTGGCATCTGTTTAAATTAATAATCCTATAAACTTAATACAACCAAACAAAATTAACAGAATGGGAAATTATTTCAAGCAAAGATGTGGGTCTCCTAATTTGTTTTCTGAAGTGTGYGAGTTAAACAGACCTTGGTTTTGGTACAGGGAGGCTGAAAAAAAATCTAGCTTTCAAAAAGTACTCGAGGTTTTTTTCCTTAAATCACTCTCTGGAAATCACCTTCCCTGGAGAATGTCACGCCAAAAGCCCCTAATTTCCTCAGTCACCCACAGAAAATAAAACTTTTACATAAAGAAATGCTTAACAAGGAAATAAAAAGCCTCCTAGTTCTCCCTTCTCTAACATCATGTCAAGTGAAGTGTACTTTTGGGAGAGGGTTTTAAGCTATAAAGGACAGGTCCAAGATACAGAGCTTCTAAAATAGGATCAGACTTGCCTCTAACAAGTATTTCTTCCACCAAAGAGGTGAGATGGCCACTTAGCAGACTATGGCTCAGAGTGTCCCACCATGCAGAGCCAGCCCCCTACACTCCTGACCCCAGGAAGTGAAGGATTCACACTCCCTCTAGTCCTGCCCTGATACTGCCTGAGCTTGTCCAAACACCTTTCAGCAAAGTATTTCACCAAGGGAAATCGTCTTTTTGCAAAAACTGGTGTAACTATTTGTTTTCTGAAAAACAAATATTGTTTTTTCTGTGTCAATTTCTTTTTTATTAAAAAAAAAAAAGTGTAAGAGAGGTAGGGAGAAGTGTTTCAAGCCTATCCTCTGGAGACCTACTTTAGTGATTTGAAAAGAGCTGTGGCACTTGGTACCCACCARGGGTTTGGATGAGGAAATAAAAGTGGTGTTTGAGTTTCACTGCTTTGATCACTCTTGCCAGTGGAGTCTCTCACTGCCCCATGTTTGATTTCAGAAGCTGCACCTCGGAGTGGTTGGACCAGGCAGTGACCACTGTTTAGTGAAGCACTTAGGGACCGCGTGGAAGCCCAGAAAATCAACAGGCCATGGATAAAAAGAATGCAGCCTTCAAACAACATTCTGAAAAAAACAAAAGTACCCCAAAGAAAGAAGGSTTTTCATTTTCTTTCGTAAAAACGTTTCCAGAAGTTGCTGCGGTGCCTCTCCCACCAGAACCAGAAGAAGCTGCTCTGATRGTAGACCACCTGTTTGAGAAAAAACCTAACTATGAGCAGGAGGGCTTGGAGAAAGAGTTTTCTGGGGAAGAGGACAAGGTAAGGCAAGAAGAGGGCACAGATCCTCCCCACTCTTACTCTGTTGTTTCWCTTTGTGCCTCAAAATGAATTCCTTTGTCTCCTTGGGCAATCTGTACTTGTTAGGTCTAAGGAGGACTTTTGGGATCAGGGCCAAGCAGTTATTGTGTAACTGGAAAAGAAGTAATCAATCTGCAGACATTAAAAATGCAGGTCTAAAATAAAGGGAGGGCTGCAGCCTGGAAGCCARTTTAATGTGGGACATGCATTGGTTTCAACCCTAACAACAAATGCTGAACAGAAAAGCTGAGATTTTTTTTTTTAACTTGAGACTCTTCAACCCTCAACAGAAATGCACAGAAAGGTTAATAATAACCTGTTTGGATATTTTACACTGAACACAGATTGATTTTAAGTCTGTGACACAGTTATTGAAGTTTTTTGAGAATTTACTAGCTATTGTAGTGAAGAGAGTGGGCAGGGGTTACCAAAAAAGGTTTCAAATGCCTGCCTCCAGAAATGTGTGCTGCCTCTCTCATCTTGGCCCAAAAAATCTGCTCTGTTTGAGTACATCTGAACCACAGATATACTTTTAGAGGCAYCTTTCTTGGATAAAAGTGATGGAGAGAAACTTCAATTTTTCTTTTCAAAAAATCGTGTTTGAATGTGCCTGGCCCAATGTGTCTGAAACATATTGGTGTTCCCAAAACTGCATTTCTAAATGCAGCAGTCAGACTGGAATGTGGAGAGAGGAACAGGGAGAAGAGACCAAGCTGATCTTTACATACTTTAGCTGAKCATATTTGATGGCAGATGGACCAGTTTTGCCAAAGACTGGAAATCACTTGTTTTGTTTTCATGTAAATGAAGAGCCAGTGTTAATATCTGGACATATATCAAACCCAGAAAATGACAGTAATCAGTCATTTGAAACAACCCAYTCATATTCAGGCCTTATGTGAGCCTAAAATGAGGCAAAGAAAGAAAAGGCATGATGCCCTAAAAGATCTCAGCCACCTGTTAAGAACATCACAGCAGAACTTTTGGGTATCTGTGCAGAAACTAAATCTTCAAACTGCAAAGCAAAGATCTAATAAGCTGTTCTTTACTAAATTCTCTGATTTCTGGGATCAATTTTCATCTGCATACACGTGCTTCAGTACRTCTGTGGATGAGTGGAAGAAAATGGCAGTTATTAAAAAAAACTGTTGTGAAAAAAAATTAAAAAAGCACACTTACTAATGTGTTCTTTAGCTTCTCAGGATGGATTTCAAAATTTGATATTTTTACTGAGGATGGTCTTTGAGCCAACCTCAACTKTTTCTTTCATATTTACAGAAATAAAATGCCTATTTATTACATATTGATGCAGGGATGCACAGTGATATGAAATACAGCTTGATGCCAGCAAATAAGTTTTACTAAAGAACAATGAGTAGAAAATGCATTTTTTTTTTTTTTTAATTATTGACAATTCATTGTAAGTTTAACTCTACCAGGCTGCAGAAAACACCTTGAACAACAAGTATGAGGAAAAGATCCGACCCTGCATTGACCTTGTCGACAGCCTGAGAGCTCTTGGAATAGAAAAGGACCTGTCTTTGCCTGCCATTGCGGTGATTGGAGACCAGAGTTCTGGGAAAAGCTCTGTCCTCGAAGCCCTGTCTGGTGTTGCTCTCCCCAGGGGCCAGGGTAAGAATTCACATTCTCATGTTTTCACCTGAATTTCAGTTTGATGAGGTGGAAGGGATTTTTTTTTTTTTTTTTTTAGTGTAGTGCAGTGGAGCTGCCCCAAACTGTAGACAGACTGAAAGTCAGCATCAGATGACCCTGTGCATTTCCCAGGAAGCAACAGTGCAAGAGTATTAATTTCACATGGAAAATTAGTTTTTAAATTTGACTCTGGGGCTGGTTTAGATTTTTTAAACATTTTCTTACAAGTATCTTTTTTATTATTATTATGTGTACAAAGATCTTTACTTAAAGCATTATTTGAATCCCAAATGGTTGTTGGAAGACTTTGCARCTCAAGAAGATCCACTTTTCAGCTGTRTGTATTTTCACACACATAAATTCTRCAAGTTCCATGTGAGTTTGCAATATAACCCAGTTCTTCAGGCTGGAGTTGGGGAAAAGCTTTTCGTAGGATTTAGTTGCAGCACTGAAACAGATGATCCAGAGAGGAGCAAAGCTCCGTCTGTGGAGGTTTGCAGGGCCAGACATGTCTGGGAAGGGCCTTGGTTGGCCTCATCTAGGRCTGGTGACAATCCTGCTCTGAGCAGGAAGTTGGACAACCCCCTCTGGCACCGTCTCTTGGAACATTTCCATGTTKTTGTGTGAAACATCGGGCAGCCCTGTGTACAGCACACACCACAGGGCTGTGTTTCATGCACAACAAGCTCTGCCTTTGGAACTGCTGCAGGTATTGTCACTCGCTGTCCCTTGGAACTCAAGCTCAAGAGGTTACCTGAAGGCCAGGCGTGGCAAGGGAAAATCTGCTACAGGAATCTTGCCCTGGAGCTCCAGAATGCCTCTGAGGTGGACAGAGCAATAAGACAAGGTGAGTGGGTTTGGCTGGTTCAATCTCCTCTGAATCCTCTGCTCAGACTGAGCAGCACCCATAGCAATTGTGGGGTAACACCAAGAGCTGAATTCAGAGCAGAAGCTGGGACAGCAAAACTCAGTTCTCTCAAGGGAGCTGTAGCAGTGCTTCAGTGGTGAAGATGAGCCGTGATGATGATCACAGAATGGCCTGGGTGGAAGGGACCTTAAAGGTCTTCTGTGTCCAACAYCTTGGGCAGGGATGCCACCCACTAGATAGATCCATGATCCTTTTATCCTGATCCATGACAAAGGCTCAGACTGTGTCCTTTCCTGGGTGATGTCTTCCTGGTTTCCTGGTTTGGAGAGGTTTTCTGTCAAATGGTAAACATGCTGTCACTGTTGGCCAAACAGCGACACAAAATAATAGATACAAAGACACAAAAAAGAAAGAGAGAAAGAGGGTGAAAAAGAGTACTTTATTGTGGGACAAGCCTTTTTTATTCACTTTAGCAAGCAGTGTATACATTTGTGTCAAACATACATTAGTTAAAAAACAACTATTTAATTAATATTCAATATATAATTAATAAATTTATAAAAATGACAATATTAGTAATATGTATGATTCTCAACCACCTACATTATTAATTTTACATTCTAATCTCCTTTCTCAAAAGTAGCTAAGAATGTAATATTCCTCCTCCATACAAACTGTTAACACTCCCTTTTATTTCCCAAAACTCAATCATACACAATAATTAACTAAATTTCAAATTCAAAACTTATAAAACCACGTTTTTCCCCCACAACATGCAAAGCTCTAAGTGGTTCCTGTCATCAGTTCAAAAGCCCAGAGTGTGCTTGAGGTGACTCTGGCTGGAAATCTTGTGATTGTGGAGAAAATTGCAAGAAAGCAGAGTGGAGGGCAGAGAGCTTCTGCCAGGTAATGACCACAAGCTCAGTCATTGCCCTTAACGTGTCACAGCTTTATTGTGACAGCATTTCATGCTGTGTAAAAAATCAGAGTTCTTACCCAAAGGGCAGTCARCACTTGCCCTAAATGTGGGAGCTGGATTGTCCTTACTGCCTTGATTAGCACAGCTCTGCACATTGTTATTCTTTCTGTTATTTTTATTAGCTTTTCAATATGTTATTTGGATATTCTCAAAACTGGCCAGGCAATTGGTATGAATTAAGTAAGGTAATTAAAGAGCTGAAATTTTTTCATGAGAATGACTGTGGGGTTTCCTTGCTTCTCTGTGTTCAAGCATTATTGCCTTGTAGGATCTGGGACAAYTTACCCTTAATCTCCCTATCAAAATGTAAAGAATATAGAAAACCACCTATTTTTCTTTCAAGGCATCCAAGGATTAATTAATACCTAAAAAGTCTTTTGTGGTTGAGGAAGCATTCCTACAACTGACCAGTGTTTTACCTGACCCCTTACACTGTGATTTATTTACATGTACTTGGTCTGCACACATGAGCCCATTAATATGTGCTCTGTAAAACATTACAGTTCATATTCCAACAGGAATTCACATAGACCTGTGCTGCATAATAACTTCCTCAGATTTTTGCATCAATGGATTTAAGTGTGTTGCTTGATCTGAAAGAAAAAGCCAAGCCTAAAAGAGCCTTAGGTGGTAGTAGGTACATTTTCCAAGTCATTGTGTTCAGCTTTGTATTCACTGCCTTGCTCTTTTCTCCTCACAGCCCAGGATGTTGTGGCTGGTTCTAGAGGTGCCATCAGTGGAGAGTTAATTTCCCTGGAAATTCGGTCCCCAGATGTGCCAGATCTGACCCTGATTGATCTTCCTGGAATTGCCAGGGTGGCCGTGGGGGACCAGCCAAAAGACATCGGGGACCAGGTAAAACTCAGCCTCTCGTGCCAATCTGTGCCCAGGCTCATCCCCTGAGGGCTCCCAGAACACCTTTCTTGAAGCAAACAGAATAAGTGGAGGGGATCTGTGCTCTTCCTCTGGCTGCTTTTAGAAGAAATGCTGGGTAATGCAAATAAAACTCTAGCTGGGTGAGATCTGCTGTGAGGGTGATGTGCAGGAGCTGGTGTGTTGTTTCACCTAAAAACCTTTAAATAGGAACTTGGAATAAGAGGAGCCCAGACTAAACTGGATATACCAAATAGAAATGAGACAAGATGGGATTGCCTGGGCTTCAGTTTCTGGGAGGAGAGTAATTTAATTTCACAGTTAGATAGAAATCTTCCTATTTTATTGAGAAGAMAGCAGCAAATGTGATAAAATCCGAACATTTCCGTTGTCCCCAGTTGACTGCATGCTCCAGAGATGGAGTCTATAGCGTTGCAGCCTGTCAGAAACTGGTAGAAAWGAGAGGCATCTTTACCAAAATCCAGAGGGGGAAAATTAATTTCGTTTGGAATAAACACAATAGAGCTGTATGAAGTTTCTGCAAAAATAACACAAATTATGAGAAACTCATTTAGTTTGGCATTGAAGCAGAAAAAATGCCAACTAGATATCATGTGCAACTCTGGTTTTAGCTTTTTTTTTTAATTTTTCCTACAAATATTCACTGAAATATAAGCCAAAGACATTTGTTCTCCTTTCAGAGATACAAATTTGAGATTTACCAGTAYAATCTAACTTGCTTTCTTTCCGTAAGTGTGTACCTACACATCATAACCTGATTTTCTTACATATGATTACATATCAAATATMTTTAATATTTCCATAATATAAGATTATACATGCACAAGAGGTTAAACCCCACGTAGCTGTCAAGACAGGCTTGACAACATCAGTCTGGTCTCTTCCATGCCAGATGTTTGGATTAACCCTGATGTAGGAAAAGAGTCTGCATTCTTCTACTGACCCCTTTCCGTGCCATCCCTTGGCATGCAATACTCTCCTCAGCATATGTGACATTTAATGTCATCAGACAGTGGCTCATATTGCTGGAAGTGGTCACATCCTACATGCAAGGTCTGAATTCACTGCACCTCCTCACTGCTGTATTGAATTGCAGATCAAAATGCTACTTAAAAGAGTTATTGGCTGCAAAGAGACAATCAATTTGGTSGTGGTGCCGTGTAACGTGGATATTGCAACAACAGAAGCATTGAAAATGGCTCAAGAGGTGGATCCCAGTGGAGAAAGGACACTAGGTCAGATGATTTTTAAGCTACAATTTGAAAAGGAGGGCAATTTTTTTTTTTTCCTATGAGGTCTGATGTTCTGTGAAATTAGGTACCATAAGAAGGCGGGGCGGGGGGGGGGGGGGGAGAAGAAAACAGCCTAAAGAAAATATTTGCAAATATTCTTGAGTAGCTTCAAGAAYCCCTTAGTTTGGTGTCTTGCTGGCATTCATATTATGAATAATTGGAAATTGAAAATGTCCGTTGATGCWAGTTAATCTGAAACTAATTAAGGGTAGAAAAGCTTTGGTGTTGCCAGTTAAAAAAAGTTTTGCAAAGCAGAAGGTGTGGTGGGAGACCAGCTGTAGAGAAAGGACAAAGCCCAGGGGSTGAGATCTTTATAGGAGACAGAATACAAAAAAAAAATTTGATTTATAAAACATGGTACAGAGTGTTCCTGCATGGTGGTCAACTTTCTCTTTTAATTTCACAGGAATCCTCACAAAACCCGACCTGGTGGACAAAGGAACCGAAGAATCCATCATCAAAATACTGCAAAACAGGGTAATCCCCCTCAAAAAAGGTTACATGATCGTGAAGTGTCGTGGGCAGCAGGACATCCACAACAAACTGACCTTGGCCGCTGCAATCCAGCAGGAGAAAATCTTCTTTGAGAGTCACAAACACTTCAGGTACTCCTGACAAAAAAAAAATCTCATTAAAAAAAACATATTAAAGTCCCCTCATAGCTTCCTGTTGATTTGCTGAGATTTAACTCGGGGGTTACAAAGAGGTATTAATTACACTCACTATTTCTCATTGCCCACAAAGGGCTGTGTTTCAATAATCCAGAAGATTTTTAAATACGGAATTAAACTTTTAAAATGTGGGGGGCTTAAAATACATGGGGGAAGTGCAACGAACTTGAGGAGTTCAGATTAAGTCCCAAAGAATTTGAGTTAAGCACCTGAGCACTTCAAAGTCAGGCACTGAAATATTTCTGTTCCCTGGAAAACGTGGTGAAAACAGCATGAGAAAGACAGTGCTGAGGGCACAGACTGCCCAGGTGACTCAGCAGCAAATCAGTCACATACAGAGAACAGCAGGTGAAAAGGGTTTTGAGTCGGTGAACTTAACACAGGGAGAAATAATCATGCAGCACATTCATCTGCTGCTAGAATTTGCTGTTTGCTGTTTCTCTTTCCTTAGCCAGCAGGTGTCAAACAACTCTTGGATAAAAGTTGCCATATCTGCGCTAGCGCCCCACCAAAAGCTCTTTCTTTATTCAAATTGTGTAATAAATTAGTTGGAAACAGAACAGAGCATCAGTGCTGCCTCCTTGCCCTGCACATGCTGGCTGTTCAAAATCACCTTTCCCTCTTTTTTCACAGGGTTATTTTGGAACAAGGAAARGCCACTATCCCCCATCTGGCAGAGAAGCTCACAAATGAGTTGGTGATGCACATTATTGTAAGTAAYACAGGTCCCATACTGAGCTGTTTGSATCAGCTGCTACCTAAAAACAAATTCAACCCTTCAGCCTTGCCTGCAATTGGATTTCACCTTTAAAGGCACAGATAGTGTTAAATGATCCTTCAACTCAGTGATCTGAGAACAAATTGAACTGAGAGGTAGAGATAGAAAGACCCTGCTCTGCCCTCAGACCTGCTTTTAATCTGCAGATGAACAATAAGCAAATTATTTCCTCTGTTTGTGACTCGTAATCTCTGTCTTTTTGATGGCAGGCAGGATATTTCTCTTTGTTTATGAGGAGTTTTGATCATCTGGGTGGCAAATTACTGCTGTCAGCTTACTGAAGCACTGTGYTTTCTATTTAACTGAAAATGTTTTCAAAACGTCAAGATGTTCTATTGTATTRCTATGCTAATGCAAGTATATGGGGGTTTTCTATTTTATATAAATATATGTGTAAGTAATATATCTTATTCCATTAAGGAAAGATGGTAAAATATAGGGGACCTCTAAATCCAGTTTCAAAGGAGAAAAAAAATTATGTAAATTTACAGAAAATAAGCAGCTAAACACCATGATCCATCAGTATTTCTCAGGAACTGAGCAGTCACCACCCTATGGCACAGCCAGTGAGGACACAGTTTTGGCTCTCTGTGGGTGGAACCTTGYCCTAGACTGCAGCTATTCTGCCCAGCTCTCAGTGAGGTCCAGCCTCATTCCTCAGGGGAATCCTGGCCCCTGCCTTCCCTCAATGAGGCCCATGTTTGCAYTTCCATGTTATCCCACTATCACACATGGGAAGCAGACAGCAAACTCCTGGATTTGTAAAAACGGCAAATATCCTGTGCAGGTGTCGGTCCCTCTTAGAGGAATTTTGTTTTCCTTCCCAAACCAGACATATCCAGCCTATCTCAATGTCTTTCTTCACTCTCTCCTCCCCAGAAAACTTTGCCAGCGCTGGAGAGCCAAATYCGTGAGACCCTCCATAAAACCCTACAGATGCTGCAAAGATACAGTAGAGGCACACCCAAAACAGAGTCTGAGAAGCTGTTTTTCCTCACTGATGTAAGTACTGGTCACAGAGCAGAGCAAGGAGGTAACTGGGAGAAAAAGAAACCACCTGAAATTACCAAAACATCAGCAGGGACCCCCAGGAATTTTATGGAATCCATCACTGAAGTGCTTTGAGGGTAACCTCAAAGTAAAACCATGAAAATAACATAGACAAACCAACCTGCAAAAATAATGGATCACAGGAGCTCATTGCCTCTTCTAGAATTTYTTTCCCTGTGATTATGAGACAAGAAAACTAAACAGCTTGGTTGATTGGYCAAAATCAAGCATCTCAGCAAGGGARAACTTACACTCCTGACTGTTCAGCRCTTTAAAGGGTTCCCACTGTTTATAACCTTCATAAAACCAAGTTTATTCCTATTATGAAAATGTGGTTTGCAAGTCCATCTAAGTGTCTTATCTAAGGGATTTTCTTGCCTCACAGTAAGTCTCCAATGGATAGCAGAGGTGTTTGTGGAAGCCATCAGACTTCATACAAGTCTGGCCTATTAGAATTTAGTAAATGGTTCTAAAAAGTCTACAGGGGAAAAAAGAAAGTATCAAGTTCTCTAGCTGTGATGGTTTTGGGAAAAAAAAAAGAACAAA